GGTCATCATCCATGACAATTGGTAATTGGGCTTCAGACGCCTCAATCTTTTTGTTCAAGTGAGCCTCTAAGTCATGAATATCTGAGCCAAATTGATCTATTTCTTGTGTGAGCTCAACTCTTCCTTCAATCAGTTGGATTGTCATGTATATTAGACCATCACGAATAGACTCTTGAAATTTTAGAAGTTGAGTTTTTTCTTGTAGCCAAGATTGGCTCACTATCTCTGTTTCTCCATAACTTTCTCCTTGTTGGCTTCAATCTCTACTAATTTAGCTTGGATTGTAATTTCTAATTGAATAGCGTCAAGCTTATCCAGCTATTTCATGATTTTTGATTGCTCTTCCACACATTCAAATGTTTGTTCTGTGATTTTTGAATTAACTTTGTCCAGCATGTCCGTACATACCATAAATGAATTCACATAGCGCCTCTTGTTTTGCATTCTCCACTTCATCACCCCTGCCAACATCACAAATAACAAAAGAATCATAATAGGGGTTTGGGGGAAGGGAATAAGATTTAGGACAACCATTCCCATGTATTCATTGACGACCACATATATGACCTAAAGGACACTCAATATCCAAGTAGTGTCCATTATCATAATTACACGGATATTTATAAGAATATTCATCACCCAACCACGATCTCCATCATCCATATCAATAAGAGTATCAAATTATTCAAAGAAAAAATAATAATTAATTGTTGAGAAAAAATTAATTAAAAAAATAATAAATAAATAAATAAAAAGAAAAAGTATAACCTAGAAGAATAGTTATTTTCTAAGTCCCCGGCAGTGGCGCCAAAAACTTGTTGTTCCCAATTGCACACACAAGTGTACGTGATCGCGTAAGTAATAGAGTGGCTCTTAAAATAACCAGATTATCGAACTCAAAGGACTTGTCAATTAATTATTTACTAAATTACACTAGTCTAATTACTTATTCAAGAGTGCCAAAACTGTTTGATTTTTATTTATAAAAAAAAAAGAATGCAGGAATTAAATAATAAGACTACTTACAATGGTTGAAAAATTCCAGGGCTGAAGCATGTATAGGGTATCATGTATCACATATCATGCATGAATTAACTACGGTTATCAAATTACTGATTTACAAGGTTGATTTTATGATCATGGTCTCCCGACCTCTAATCGCCTACTCCGATTAGCAGTCTAACTATATCGTTGAGCGGGGATAGGCAGCCTTAATTGATGAACATTTATATATCATCTTGTTTTGTAATCAAGTTAGGTGTTCGCTCGGGCATCACTCCTAAACACAAATCAACTCAATTTAATGGAAGATCAAACTTTTTGTATCATTTGGTCTATCTACCTTATCATCTTTCGAGTCTAAGAATAGTTAATATATTTATCTCTATGGTGATCAAACATGAAATACTAAAACAAGAATATAAAAGTAATTTAAAGTGATAACCAACATTAATTCAAAACAATCGATGTTCAACAATTACCCGTAGCTACAGCACCAGAACAAATGTTTTTAGCTACTAATGTCTAAGAAAAGAAGGAAAAGAAAACCTAAAAAGTATTGACAACTTTTTCTTCCCAAGTACCTCCCCATAATAATTATTTCTATTGATTATTTATAAATGTAGAGAACCCTAAATAAAATAATTGAGTCCAAAGCAAATTAGAAAACCAAAACCAAAAAAGAATTGGATTCCTTTTTTTTCCGCGTGAACAGTAGCGAACCTCCTCGACAATTGTTTGTTGCATTCACTTGCTGTCACGTGGCAATAAGGTTTTTCAATTTGATTTTTGTTTGCTGTCCTTTATTCCTTATACATTATTATATTGAATTTAATTCATTAAGTTGTCTGATTGATTTTTTTCTTCAACATTCTATCTTTAATTCATTTTAGCTCTAATTTTTTTTAACTTTACACCAATTACTTCTATAAATAAAATACACTACTTAACACAATCCATAAAATTCATGCTTAAAAAAGACAGATATAAATAATAAATGTGAGGTAAATAATAATTAAAATATATATTTTTGACCTCACATCAGCTAGCGTGCGGAAAATGTCACAGCCGCACGGCAAGACGGTGCCCATTAAAGTGGTCATAACTTTTTACTTTGAACTCCAATTGATGCAAACTTGGTGGCGTTGGAAAGAAGACCCAACTTCATTTAATTTGATAGGTTATGGGTCATCTAATTCTTCATATTCTAAGAAATATGATCGTTTGAAATTGATTCAAGTAGAATCTTATATCAAAACTTAATCGGTAAGGAAGTCTTCAATTCAACTTTGTGTTAGGAGATTCTTGTGACCTTAATTCATCTCCAAATTTATTTTCACACTAAATAATTGACCACTAACACCTAAGCACAATTTAAAATTACCTGATACAACCTTATATGCAAATGAAAAATAATTCAGGTCTTCGCTTTGAAATTTTTGAGGTGTTACATCTTATTTAACTTGAATATGATTTTTAATATTATTTGTACGAATTTTAATTTTCTTTTAACATTGATAAATGATTCACCTATAATCCACATACTTAAAAGCTTCAACAAATAACAAAATCACAACCTTTTGAACCTTAATGTAATACACCACAGCTTTTTGAACCTTTTAAGATTTTCATATTATTCCGATTCATAGGTTCCAACCGCAAGTATGTGTGAAATTTGACACTAAATTCAATAAAGAACAAATAGTACTACTACACAATGAATTTTCTTTGACTTTCTTTTTCCCTTTGGCAATTTTCAAAGTTATGTATTTCCATAAAAAACGCAGAATCTATTTGAACCTCTTTTTAATCCACTTGCACTTGTCTACACTTTAAACATTTGATTTTATTTAGAGGTGTTCAGTGATCTAAATTTAAAAATAGATTACGTTATTTTGAATTTGATCAAATTAAAATAAATTAATATAAACAAATGAATTATTGATCTATTCTAAAAATATTTAAATTAAACTATATTAAATGTGGGTCGTAAACTAAATAGTTGGTATAAACTTATAAATGAGAGGTCTAATTTTGTTTTGTTAGATATTGCCATGACATACAATTTCGTTATAACTTTTTCCTTTGTTGAGTTAGCTATTAATATGATTATTAATTATCACATTTTAGGAACTTTTTGTGGTTAATTTTTATTTAACTCAATATGATTTTTAATATTATTTTTACGAATTTTAACTTTCTTTAATATTAATAAGGAATTCACATACAATGCATGTAATTAAAAGCCAGTCACATTGTATAAGTTCCGATGAATAACAAAATTATAACATTTGGAACCTTAATGTAATACACCATAACCTTTTGAACCTTTCAAGATTTCTCTAATTTCTTTGGCTCCCTCCTTTTCTTGATTCATGGTCCCAATCGAAATGTAATGACATTTCAAATATTATTTACTTCCTCTGTTCGATAATACTTCACTTCTTAAGAAACTATAAATAAAAGAGTAATTTTACTAATCATTTGTTAAATATAATAAATATAATGTGTTGAAAAATGTAATAAAGAAATGACTATAATTAACGATAAGGGTAAATTAGAAACTAAGTATAAAATTACTTATTAATTTCATAAAGTAGACAAGTATTTTTGGACATTCCAAAATAGTAACTACTCTCTCTATCCCTAATTACTTGTCCACTTTTCCTTTTTTAGTTATCTCTAATTACTTGTCCATTTTGACAAATAAAGAAAGGATAAAAAAAATTCTATTATATCCTCAATTAATTACTTTGAAAAAAGTAATTTTTTGAAAATTTTAAGTTTGTAATTCATCCATTTCATAATTAATAAGGATAAAATGGTAAACTTATTATATCATTTTTTTAATAGATGTGTCAATACAAATGTTGACAAGTAATTAAGGACGAAATGAGTATGATATACATGGAGAATTATGGACGGAGGGAGCAATTACTGTGATATAAATTCGATAAAAAAAACATTTTTTTTGCTATTTCCTGTAAATTGAATAAAAAAACAAATAGTACGATTTTTTGCCTTCGTTTTGACAATTTCCACATTGGGTACAACGTGGAGCTTGTTGAACCTCTTGAGCTTCTTGATCCATTTGCACCGTTTCCTTATAAATTGAGCCGGTCAAAGCGTGTGTTTGGTACGGACGAAAACATTTTATGAAATATATTTAATTTTTTAATGTTTGGTTGGAATTAATTTATTTTTCTTAAATTTTTAAAAAATAATTTCACTTCAAAAATTAAGTAAAATATTTTTCAAAACTCTACTTTATTTTTTAACCTTTTTTTACCCTACCCCGTAACTGACCCCTTCCCCCACCATCCCCCACCCCCACCCAGGTCAACCCCATAAAAAAATATTTTTTAGAAATTTTTTCAAATTTAAAAATAATTCATTTTTTTAGAAAATATTTCAAATTTAAAAGCTATTTTTTGGAAAATATTTTCATTCACCAACCAAACATTAAAAAATATTCTCTACTTACCAATCAAACATGAGAAAATAAGTTAGAAATTTATTTGTTTTTCAAGAAAATATTTTCTGATCCTAAATGTAATGGTATTTTAATACTTCTATTTAATTAATGTGATTATAAATGGAGAATTATGGATGATTTCATATAGAGAAAAAGGATAAATGTACTCGTAAATGATATGCAAATACTCTTCGTCATATTTTTGGGACATTGGTGTCCATGCTATCCAAAAACTAGAGTGTATATGCTCTTTACTCTAACGGAAGACAAAATAGGGACACGTGGTGCAATATCTTATCCGTCAATCCAATATTTAATAAATGTTGGGTCGGTAGATAAAATTATGACACGTGTATATATGTTATTATAAAGGGTATATATGCTCTAGTTTTTGGACGGACACCAATGTCCCAAAAATATGACGGAGATATCTACCTACTATTTACGATAGTTTAGGTATATTTGTCCGATTTCCCTTTTATATATTGAACAAATAGTAGTAACTCCGACGACTTTTCGACAGTTGATCCACAACTTTGCTTATATAAGCAACAGAGAAACGGGGCAGAGGCACTGAAATTGTATAATATAGTATGGAGCATGTTGTTCAGCAACCTTCAGATGTGTGTGACCTAATGCCTTGTAAATTGGACTGGTCTCAACTGAAGTCCAATGTCTGGGCATTTTGGAGCAGAAAACAGAAGGACGAGTTGGAATACCAGCGATCCATTAAATCCATCTTTTGTGAGTGAGTCTGTTGTGAATATTTTCCAATTTTTGTTTAGCACTAATCTTTTTATCTTTTTGATAACTCCAGCTTATTCTGTTGTTTCCATCTTTCTAACTGAGAAATGGAGGATCCAATCTGTTATGGAGAAAATGTTGAGTCCAAATATTTCTCTTCTTCAATACTGGGCACCCATCAAGGTCAATGGATCGATTTTCCTGTCCACCGCGGATCAACCATTTGCTTTCTATAACGAACTTGATAAGAGGCTCTCTTCCTACAGGAAGATCTGTCTAGATACTTCGATTCCCATGGACAACTACAGCTACAAGGAAAGCCCCCCTGGACGAGTTTTCTCAAGACGCTTGCCAGAATATAATCCCGATGTCCCAAGCTACTCCTCTGCAGAGTTTCCACTGCTTCAAACTGCAATTCGCTTGGGCATTCATTCTTATTATGCATTTCCAGTTTCCAACCTCCATGATCAGCAGTGCCTTGGTGTATTTGAGATTGTATCAACACAACCATCTCTCCATCTTCCCAATCTTATTAAGGTATTTGCTCAACCACACTTTTGTTTATATCCCGTTTGAACAATTCCATAATCCTTGTTTAATTTTCCATCGTAGTGGTTGAATTTCGAATCAGTTGGGTTGTACATTCCTAACTCATTGGACATACTTTTTGGACCTTCAAAGGTAAGGAGTTGCTGCCTTTTTTATTTTGCCAAAACTAGGGATAAGGCATTAGTATCCCTAGACTATGAACGAAATCGCAGAGACACACCTTAACTAAACTAAGGTCCGATTACCCCGAACTAATTTTTTTTGTAATTTTATACACCTTTTTGGCCTACGTGGCCTCCAAACATCTCCCACGTGCCTCACTTAAGTGGAGTCACGGAGTGTGCCACGTAAGCCAAAAGGTGTACAAAATTACACAAAAAATGAGTTTAGGGGTAGTAGGACCTTAGATTAGTAAATGTGTGTCTTTGAGATTTCGGTCATAGTCTAGGGGTATTTGTGTCTTATCCCGCCGAAACTAAACAAAAAAAATGAAAGTAAAAAAAAGAGATCAGTCCCACTAATTTCATAGCTTATTTTTTATAGCCGCTGGATCATGAAAGACTTGACGATATAGAGGGCAGGTTATATGAGATCCTTGAAAGACATAGTTTACCCTTTGCTCAAATTTGGATTCCTTTTTCTCTACCTAGCTCTTTAGAAGTCTTGTATCGTGTTGGTGGCTCAATCAATGAATGTCCGAAACCAATGTATTATGAGTTCGAATATTCATCTGAGGTCTGTTTTATTGAGAGTGGCAAGGCATTGGTTGGGAGGGCATTTGCATCCCAAGGTTCATGCTTTTGCAAAGATGTTACTCTATTAAGCATCAATGAGTACCCTGTGTTGCCTAGTGCACGAAAAGCTAGATTCACTCAGAGTTTTGCTATTTGCTTGCAAAGTAAATGTGCCAACAATATTGTTTGCGTAGTTGAGCACTTTCTGTCACCCAACGAAATGGTTGTTAGGGATACAAAGACTTACTTAAACATGATTTTATCCACAATGAAAGAACAACTTCCAGGTTTCATGGTTGCTTCTGGGAAAGAACTGGGGCAGAGGATGCTCGTTGAAGTTGTTACTGTTTCCCAGAGTGATGAGCTTGACTCCTTTGAAATTGGCCAACATCTGCCGAATGTTCAATCACTTCAGGGTGGAGGAGAAACAACAGAAATTGGCCAACCTCTGCCGAGTGTTCAATCACTTCAGGATGTAGGTGAAACAATAGAAATTGATTCTTTCTGTCAACAGTCAAATTTACAGAAGAAGTTTAATGTTGCTGCTGCACTACTGGTTCCTTCTTGTTCATCAGACAAGTGTGACTCACTCAACTGTGAAGGGACAGTGGAAGTTGATCCGTCACTGCCTCATCCAATAGAGGAAGCTGTGACAAACAGAGGAACAGTTAACGTGGATGTAGCACATGATGACCACATTGAGGCTACAAGTGATATAATGCAACTTGATTCACACTTTGAGCAACCAAATTTAGAAACTAATTCTGCATGAAATGCAACAACTAACAACGAGATAATTCATTTGCATAATAAAAACGCAATACAAAGAATAGAAAAAGATCATGGGATTACTCGCAAGATTCTGGAGCAGCACTATGGCATGACTCTTGAAGATGCTGCAAAAGATCTACATGGTAAGTTCACTAACTTTAGCGCATATGAAATGATTTATGCATAGGTTCACTGAAATCCCTTTTGTGGACTTCATTTATTGCAGTTAGTCGAGCAACACTGAAACGAATACGTAAAGTATATGGAATCACTAGATGGCCACATCATAAGACTAGAAAGATTAATGTCCATGTTAGTCAAGGCATATCTTTTCAAGGTGCTGAACCATATGTGGTCGATCAACAATGTGTTGCTCTTTCCCAAGAAAAAGGCACAGATTATTTGGGTAACAAGAGATCTCCTGCAACAGGAGTATCTTGTGATAGTGGGATGACTTTAAAGGTTACATATAGAGGTGATATCATAAAGTTTCAACTCTCCCTTTCATCAACGAGGGTAGAATTGGAGGGGGAAGTGGAAAAGAGGCTTAACATATCACTTCAAAGGTTTTCAATCAAGTATCGAGATGAAGACAACGAATGGATTTTGATAACTACTGATTCAAATTTGAGGGATGGGATGCATTCACTAAGGTTGTTGGGAAGGACTACTATGAGATTACGGGTTACCCCAAAAGCTGCCACATGAAATTTCTGCAAGTTTTGTTATGGTTCATCTTCACTGCCAAACGTTAGTGATGTTATGTTTTAGTGACATGGTGTTTGTCTCTTCACTGCTGTGTTGTGGCATGTCTTTGTGCTCAGTGAACAAAGGTGATTAATGCTGTTATGAATGGGGAACTGTCAAATTACGGAAGATGCTTATATATAGAAGAGGAAAACAATCATAGGGCTTATGCTAAGAGTTGTGTCATTTTCTTTTCATTAACTATTTTGTAACTCCCTTTTCTATTCTCCATTTGTTGTTTGATTACATGAACAATCAGTTTGTAAGTTCCTTTGATGATCAATAGACATTTGCTTAATTTGTTACATTATTATTCTTACTCCATGCCTCTCTGCCCTTTTACCATGTTCGATTCTGAGTTCAACACCCTCTTTGAATCGGTGAAGGTGATGCAAGAGAATCATTCTAGTATGGGCTCTTTAATTTGCCGTATGTGATCACTAATGCAGGAGAAGATGCAATCGTACTCCACAGCTTCAGATACTCCAGAGATTTCAGATGCTACAACTATCATCTCTGTGTGAGAGTCAGCTTACAATGATAGTAACACCGGAGGTGGCTGATATCGTGATATCACATCAGGACTCACAGCTTCCTTTTCTTGCTGTTGGAGAAACAATAGGAGCTTGACATGGGGTTTGGCCTCAAGGTGTTCGATGTCAAGCTCCTTAAATTATAGCTAATGAACCGGTACTAAGACACTATTCATAACCCTTTTATTCATACTTTTTTTTTTGTTTTTTTTAAAATGAGATGAAAATACTCTTTGCCCAATTATTTGCAGGAAAGATAATATATAATTGCACCTAATTATCTTTCATACATTAAAAAAGGTATATAAAGTTGTAATTTCTTCTTCACGTAATTATTTATTTTTAAGCTCTCCATTCCTATAAGCTCTTCCATTTTATGGTTATTAGCATCTTAGTTCTATATTAAGATTTTGGGTCCCGTCGTTATAGAAAAACCAATGGGAAAAATTTTTGGGTCGGAAAACTTTTTCATAGTAACTTGAAATTTTCCAACCTAGTCCAGATTTGGACGAAATCGGAGTCATTAAGGTGTGGGGAAATCTGGTAACAATCGGGTGACTTAAATATGATTTTGATTACATGAGTAGATAGCTAACGCGTTAAGGAATCCGTACGACGTTACGGAATTGAATTTGGGTGAGTAGAACTCCTGAAGCTGACTTTGGCGTGAACGAGTATTTTTTAGTGTCGTTGATTGAGGGTGTGTTGTGAAAGGGGAATTTTGGAATTCTTTAAATGGAAAAGGGTCATATTTGCCCTTGTACCTTTAGAAAAGGGTCATATTTACCCTTCGTTATACTTTTTTGATATATTTGCCCCTACCATCCTACTTTGGGCACATATTTCCCCTTGTACAATTAACTTATCATGACACCATTTTCATAAGCCTATGTGGCGCCTACGTGGCTCCATGTGTATATACATTTATTATAATAAAAAAATTACTTTCTATTTAGTATTATATTCGACCCATTTAGTAAAATTCGACCCAACCATTAACCCAATTCTAATATCCACTCTCTCATATCACTTTACCCATTAAAACAGAGATAATACAGAGACAACGGTCTTCAGTTTTCTCCCGTCGCTCGTAATATCTCAGAAGAAGTCCCAGAGAAAAGATCGTTGAGAAGCAAAACTGTGTGTGGAAATAAGCATGTCAATTAGCGCGCGAAAAGAAAAAATACAGAGACAACTTAGATTGAAGGCTTCGATACAGAGAGAAGAGTCATTCATGTCTTGATTCTGCTAATTGGTCGGGTTTCTTGTCTGTCGCTTTAGTTTTACATCTTTAGTTACCGAGTAAGCGAGAGTGAGAAGTTTGAATTTTTATGCAGTTAAGAATTGTGGTGGACAGTGAGAGTGAAGTGGATTTGCTAGTACAGACTCGGAACCTCCGTGATATTGTCGTCCTTGTCATCTGAGGTCTTGCATAGAGGTTTAGCAACACCTCAATCAATTCCCTTCTTGAGATAGAGACCTAGTAACATTTCATGTTCTTTTTTTGTGTACATTAGTTGGTTTTTTCTGTCTCTAACTCCAGTAGTTTGGTGTTGGCTTATGTGATTTTGTTTTCTGTTTTTTGGTGAGGTATTTAGTTTCATCTGCTATGTATTTTGCTTCTTCCATTAGCTTCTTATTATGCTTATGCAAGTTAGCTTGGTATTGTTTATGTAAATATGACATATCTTTGTGCATGAAAATACAAAAGAAATACCGATTTGTGTATGATAGTTCACAAAAAAATTAGTGTAATTTATTCATATTGAATGTTCAACTTCAGCATTACTAGCAAGATGTGTCTTGTGTCCAATGTACAATACATGATAATGTGATTATCAATTTTACTAGCTATTACTAATGTACAATACATGATAATGTGATTATGGGAAACTTTACTAGCTATTACATGAAAGCTTATTGCACTCCGTGAATCGTAACGTATAATTATAAGTCACATCAATTCTGGAGTTGAAGGCTGCAGGTTCAATTCCCAGTTCATCACCATATGATCCTTTTGCATAACTTGTAGCCTGATAAGAGTGCAGAGGCCGTCACGGCCATGAAAGCAATAAAAGACATGCAAACATCAAGACAATTAGAATTTAGAGTTCAAAATAGACTTCTAAATCTAAAGGATCACAAAAATAGACTTCTAAATCTAAAAGCTCACAACTTATATGTTCCAACGTCAAAATACTACATTCATATAAATTATCTAAGCCAATACAAGACAATTAGAATAGCTACTTCAGCATAATAGAGCTCTGCACAAATACAAACACACACACAAAAAATGTAGTTGTGGATTAAACACCATTTCAGCACACAAATACAAACACACACACACAAAATGTAGTTGCAGATTAAACACCATTTCAGCGCGTTAACATTTCACAATTTAACCACTATTTTCAGCAACAACAGGACAATTACATCATAACTAATATAAAGTGGCATAATGTGACATTCATGTTCAATGTTCACCACAAAAAAGAGTAAACTGAAAAGACATTAACTAAAAAGTATTGTCATAAATCAGTAATTAAAGCCCATGAAACATAACAAAAATATTTTTCAACCCAATAGATCACTTTTGTCCTTTTCTTGGCTTCAGTTTCTTAATTTTTTGCCTATTTTGCATCTCCAATTGACCTTGAATTATAACCGTTTTTCCCTTCCATGTGAGGTTGGTTGGTGAGTAGGGAAGATTTGAAGGAACACTCACTCCATTGTGATCACCAACAAAGTTAATAATCCTTGTTCCAGAAGGAATTGGTCCCTCTTGCCTGGCTCGGAATATTGCATTTTCTGACACTACCATTGGCCTTATAGTAGGATCTGGATCATGATTTGGGAAGTTGATTGTCAAATCTGGATGAACGGTATGTTGCAATGTAGTAGCATCTGGCTTGCTTGATCTTTGCTTTGAAGTTTCAGATAACTCAAAATCTAGCGTCTTACTTGGAATGCTTGGTCTTAGACCTGAAAACTGTGGTGCATGATGCATCAATGTTGGTGTAGACATGAAGTTCACAACTTGGCTTGCTTGGGTTGATTGGGGTGCTGTTAGGTTTATCTCTTCAGGTTCATCAATTAATTTCGTGGTTCTTTTCATTGGCTTTGTATTGACAAGCTATTGTAAGTAAAAAATACAAGTTAGAAATCAAACTTCAGGAAAAAAGTAAGTTGCTATTAGCATTGAAGATATTTTACCTTTTTACATCCTTTACTGTTGTGGTTTGGCTCTCCGCAATTGTTACATGTCATAACTCTTCCCTTTCTTGAACTTGCCCACTCGCCTTGCCTCTTAATTGCCTCGTCTTTTTTTTCTGACTCATTTAGTTTTGGGTCTGCCGACCATCTTCACTAGGTCAGGTGGTTCCATTGCTTGATGTGGATCCACCTTCCAAAAAATTTCACTTCTAACAGGTTGCAATTTGTGCCTATAGGTAAGCAGGAATGCCTCTTTGCTATACCACCAACTCATTTCAGTCAAAGGGTCCAACTTGTTGTACAACATTGCAGAAAGTGCATGTGGGCATGGAATTCCATTTAGATCCCATTGTCTACATGTGCATCTCTTCAAAATCATATTTACAGTATGCCTATCACAACCTTCTGTGATCTCATATCCATAATCACCATTGAAATTAACCTTACATTTTTGAGCAATTTTCATGTACTCATTGAACAATTGCATACTCTTTGGGCTAAACCCAGTAGCCGTTTAGTTTTGGGTCTGCCGACCATCTTCACTAGGTCAGGTGGTTCCATTGCTTGATGTGGATCCACCTTCCAAAAATTTTCACTTCTAACAGGTTGCAATTTGTGCCTATAGGTAAGCATGAATGCCTCTTTGCTATACCACCAACTCATTTCACTCAAAGGGTCCAGCTTGTTGTACAACATTGCAGAAATTGCATGTGGGCATGGAATTCCATTTAGATCCCATTGTCTACATGTGCATCTCTTCAAAATCATATTTACAGTATGCCTATCACAACCTTCTGTGATCTCATATCCATAATCACCATTGAAATTAACCTTACATTTTTGAGCAATTTTCATGTACTCATTGAACAATTGCATACTCTTTGGGCTAAACTCAGTATCCCAAAATCTCACTTCATCCTCCCTTTTTCTCAATTGGTTCATGACTTTAGTTCTTATTTCTTCAAGCATTTTGATGATTGGTTTGCCTCTAGCTTCTAGAATCCATTTATTCACCGATTCTGTGAAATTGTTCACCACTTCATAGTTCTTGCACACGGTGTCAAAATAGGCTCTACACCACGCATTGGGAGGATATTTCAGTAAATCTTCAGCTGCTGTTTTATCTAAAGAACCAATCATATTGAGTTTGTCTTTGAAATCTTCCTCATATGTGGTCCATGAACACCACCAAAATACCTTTTGCAGTTCCTCTGACCTCCATGCTTTGCATCAGTTTGCTTCAACATGTTTCGCACAAACTCTGTGATGTGATTTAGGATACACATCTTTCATTGCTTGAAGTAATCCCTGTATGATAAAATTAACAAAAAGAATGAATTTCTAATTTTTCATTTTAGTAATGTCCAGAACTGGAATGAAAGACCTGTCTAGTGCTTTCATTTTACTTCTGACTAGAATTTTAATTTAAGAACTAGACAATGAGACCTGTCTAGTGCTTTCATTTTACTTCTGACCAGAATTTTAATTTAAGAATTGGACAATTCTTCAATTTTAAGTTTTGGATAGAAGTAAAATGAAAGAACTGGACAGCGATTGAAGCTTTAGAAATGAACTTAAAAGTTAATGTAAAAAAGAATTAGCTGGAAAAAAATAATTCAGATATGTTACCTTCTGCATGTCTGAAATGAAGGTTATTCCTTCACCCACCTCCTTGAGATCTAATGACCTTTTAAGATGGCCTAAAAACCAGTTCCATGTTCTTTTTGTTTCTTTGTCAACAACTGCCCAAGCAATAAGGTAACTATGGGACTGACAATCTTGACCAACAACAGTTAACAATTGGTCCTTGGCTTTCCCTTTTAAAAAGGTTCCATCTAAGCCAATAAAGGGTCTTAACCCATCCTTAAAACCCATTTTAAGTGCGTGAAAGCAAATGAACATCCTCAAGAATCTTCGTTTTCCATTGGCAAGTGCATCCTTCGATATATTTATAATCACATCACTTCCTGGATTACTAGACCTTAGCTCATTTGCATAAGCCTCAAGTCTATTATAATCATCTGTAAAGCTTCCTTCAAGTTTTTCCAAAATCAATTGCTTAGCTCGCTTGCACTTACCATGACTAACATTAACATCAAATCTTTCTTTTAAATCATCCCTCATATCCTTGATCTTGTACTTTGGGTCATTTTGCAATTTAGACTTGAAATAATATGTTATTATAAGATGATCAACCCTTCCATTGTCAAATGCTTCGTTACAATCATGCGTATTTTTCAAGGTTTTTATTCTAACCCCCGACATGTCTTTATCTCCAGAAATATGTAATGAAAAACGCATCCTGCAACACACTCATACCTCAACCTTGATGGATCACTTTTCAACTGCTTCAAGTTTCTTTTGTTTACAAGAGCATACAAGTTAATGCATAATCTAGCTTCGGGTATATCCTTGAAGCTCATACCTATGCATAACTCCTTGTAATCTAGCAACGTTTCATCAATGATCCTATTTTTTTGAAAGGCAATCTTATTCAAGTCATCAGAATCATACTCTACCTCGACATGATTATCATCACTCTCATTATCACTCTCACCGTCAGTTCCAACTTCAGTTGTTGCAACATATGACTCAGAATGTTGAGAAATATTATGAACTTCTATTAATTCCTCGCCTTCATCTACATCATATATGTTAAGGACCTTAAATTCTTCAGACACTAAGTACAATAACTGCCTTATACCATTATCGCCATCTATCTCGTAATAGTTACCAGAGGGAACGGTAACAATAAAGTTGTTGAACACCTAAATATCCAAACTTACTGTTGTACTCGTTTACGATATCAATAAAGGTAAGGAGGTCAGGATCATAACCTGTCCAAGTATCGATTAATTTCTTCCTTCGGGAAAAACAGAGTACTAATTAAACAAAACACAAGGAACAGGTTCAAACACTAAAACAATATAGAGATCACATCTAAAGCCAAAATGCTCATTCATCCTCCTGGCTGTGCAACCTAGCAAGCTTGTTTGTTATGACAACGTCGAGTTGGGCAGCTCGCTCGACAATCTCTTTCCTCTTTCTGGTGGAAACATTATGTGCGATTTCTGCACAGTAAGTTCTGTTGTGCATCATTAGGATCTCAAGCTCACTAGCATTATGCACAACAAACTTCTTGAAGCCATTAGGAAGATAGTGGCGAGTCTTCTTGTCTGACCCGTATCCAATATTGGGCATCAAGACACATCCCTTGAACTTTCTCCTCACTCTGGAATCAATACCCTTGGGTCTGCGCCAGCTTTCCTTGACAGTGATTCTTCGGTCACTCTGAGGTCTAATAAACCTCTTCACTCTCTTCTTCACGACCTTCTTGTTAAGCAGAGGCACGACCATTGTTGTTGTTCTACCTTACCTTTGGAACTAGGGTTTCTGCTAAGCCGCAAACTCCTTCGGTTGGGTCGAATATAATACTAAATAGAAAGTAATTTTTTTATTATAATAAATGTATATACACATGGAGCCACGTAGGTGCCACATAGGCTTATAAAAATGGTGTCATGATAAGTTAATTGTACAAGGGCAAATGTGTGACCAAAGTAGGATGGTAGGGGCAAATATATCAAAAAAGTATAACGAAGGGTAAATATGACCCTTTTCTAAGAGTTCAGGGGCAGATATGACCCTTTTCCGTTCTTTAAATAGCTCTATGTCTCGTGCAACCCGCTTTGGCGGAGAATTTGGTCGCTCTGGCGTCGTCACTGTAGCGGGCTGGGTGCTACTGTGGCGGGCCAAACGCGACTTAAAGTCATAAATAAATCCCTAAACGACCTTTTTCTGTACTTTTTGATTTTTAGAGCTAAGGAACAAACCCCAGGCAACTCCTACTGGTTTTCCACCATTCTTGAGGCTAAAGGTAAGGTTTTTAACTCCCCAAATCCGTTTTTTTATCTGTAGAACGTAATGGAATGAGTAAATATTGATGGGGATGGGTTTTGATCTAGATTCTATGGTGGAAACAACCTTAAATTTGATAATTGGGATCATGGGTTGATCTAAGGTTCATAGAATTGTTAGTAATTCGGGTAATTAGTGATTGTTTATTGATTCCCATATTGTATTGATTGTTTGGAGACCAAGAACAAGCGGAACAAATCCGGAAAGGGAAGGATCAAGTTTCCTAGGGTTTCAAGCTTGTTTCGAGTTAGGTGATGGTTGTGATTCTATGATTGTGTGATGTATATTTGTTCTTGCTTCATTATGATACATGTATGTATGTGAATATTGCATTATTGATCACACATGTTGTAAATGAGATAGATGAATGACTATATGCCATTAATCACTTTTTGATTGTAAGATTATTGAGAATGTACTTATGATTATGATTGTGGTGTGTGATGGGATCGGATACCACGTTCCGATATACTAATTGGGATCGGTTACCACGTTCCGGCATAAATATGGGATCGGTTGTCACTTTTCGGCGTAACTATTGGATCGGGTACCACGTTTCGGTATGCTAACTGTTTGGGTTTGGGTTCCATGAGAGGACCAATGACTTGTCAATTGTATATCTTGAGAAATGTGAAGTTGTTTGTTGTTCATTGTTCGTTGTTTGTTGTTTGTATTGTTGATAATATTGTATATGTTCGATATATGCATGCGATTATATTGTTGTTAACTTGCTTGTGTTACACTTAGTGGGATAACCGTGTGATCCTACCAGTACATTGTAGTTGTGTATTGATACTATACTTGCTTTTATTTTTGTTGAGTACAGGGCATCTTCAGGCGGCTATTGACAAACCTCGTCTAGAAGATTAGTGATCTTGTTCGAATTCAAGGGTGGGCCAATTCTTTCGGGCTGCCATGAGTTCTCCTTTCGTCTATATCTATATTTCGGACTTAGACTTTTCTAGTTAGTTATAGTTCATTAGTTTGGGGTTGTAACCCTTCTTGTTTAGACTTATGGATCTTGTTACATGTTTTGGTACATTGACTTTCAGGTTCTAGGTATTTAATTCCGCATTGTTTAGTTTAGTTGTTAGATCTCTTGTTGAAGTTTATGAGAACTTCATTAATTAGTTATTCAATCTACTTCCTTAGTTTAAATGCCTTAGTTTTTGGTTTAGTTGCTTGTTTTGGATTGTAGTAGTGGTTCTCCCACCGGAGGGTTAGTGTGGGTGTCAATTACGATGGCCTGGGTCGTGACAAAGTTGGTATCAGAGCTAGGTTCGTTGATCTCGATGCATCGAAACGAGTCTAGTAGAGTCTCGCGGAATGGTACGGGAATGCCTTTACTTTTCTTCGAGAGGCTATAGGACTTTAGGAAATCTCTCTATTTTCTTCTTGTCTCCTTTTGTGCTATAACTTGATTCCAATTGGTATGTGTCGATTCAAATTGATATCTAACCTCCTTCACTCTTCTGTCCACAGATGGTTAATACTAGGTTCAACGGCGTCAGGCCAGTAGGTCCCGTCAATGCTCCGGTTGAAGAATCTGCAGCGAGAGGTCGTGGTTGAGCCAGGGGATAGAGGAAGAGTTAAGGGTAGAGGTCGTGGAAGAGTAGCACCTATTGGGCCTGGATCTCCTGTTGAGAATGCTCCTATGAATGAGAACCCTCCTGCGCAGCATGAAGAGATAGAGGAGAATGTGGATGTCAAGGATGTTGAGGAGATTGGACAAGAGGAAGAGGTGTAGGCTGGGACTACATGTGTTCCTCATTTGTATCCAGTACTAGCTCAACAGATTATGTCGTTCTTGAAGGGATTGGTTGGTCCTGGAGTGCTTCTTTCTGTTCAAGCAACTCAAGCTCCCGCTAATCCCCCTGTTGCTAGCACTGTGCCCAAGACGGGTAGGACTGTAGGTAATGATGCTTTCTTCCGTCCTTTGTTGGGTTCCGTTATGACTAGTAGTAATGAGCATGAAATGTTGAATAAGTTTTTGAAGCTAAAGCCTCCTGTATTTCTTAGTTCTGAGAGTGAGGATGCTTATGAGCTCATCTTAGATTGCTATGAGAGGCTTCATAAGTTGGGAATTGTTCATCAGCATGGGGTTGAGTTCGTGTCCTTTCGACTTCAAGGTGAGGCCAACAATGGTGGAGAGCTTATATAGAATGCAAATCTTCTACTTTACCTCCACTTACTTGGACCCAATTTCATGCTCTGTTTCTAGAGAAGTATGTGCCTAAGACTTTGAGGGATCGCAAGAAGAATGAGTTCATGGCTTTGGAGCAAGGTGGTACGACTGTGGCTGCTTATAAGGCCAAGTTCCATGTCTTGTCTAGATATGCTACTCAATTGATGGCTACTGAGGAGGAGAATATTTGTTTATTCATTAGAGGATTGAACTCTGAGTTGCAAGTATTATTTGTTCATATGACTTCCGCAGGGAAAAGTTTTAATGAAGCGACAAACTATGTGTCACACCCCGAGATACCCTCGAGACACGGACACGGGACCTAGGACCACAAGTGATCCCAAGCTAACCATGCTGGCATGATCATGAGCATACTAAAGATAATAAATTGATGCGGAAGCTAAATAATAAATAAAATGAAATAGATGGGGAATACCCATATACTATAACTGAGATAAATGAAAATTAATGAGTTTAATACAAAAAAGATATTAACTCAATACTAAGCTGAATCTAACTATGTCTGAAAATAGCCTCTAACTGACTAGAAATGCTGGGACAAGCCCCAACTAAGTCTATCAAAACTGAAACTAAAGGACTAAAAAATACTGAAAAGAAACTCATGACTATTGTCCTCGGAGAATGAGGACTCACCACTGATTCTACTAAACTGGAGATCAGGAACCGATCTAAGCGTGATCTGGATGCTAAGAACCTGAACCTACATCATGAGAAGATGTAGCGCACGTATGCGTCAGTACTTGAAAGGTACTGAGCATGGAGGATAGAGTAAAGCTGAAATAACATATAACTGAACAAAGCAATGAAATAATCTGAACATGATATAGATACTGAATACTGAACTAACTGAATACAATGACCAATTTATAACATGCTGAGACTGAATATACTGATAAATAGTCAATGCAATAGAATTTGACTGAACTGTGGGAGCTACTAATAACTGACATAAAACCACATGAGCTAAATATGGAGTCCGATGTATACACCCCATCGAGAGGAGCCAATACACCCGACCAAAGGTGTAGAGGCATGTTGGTGTGATCACTAAAATGATGCCCATAGAGGGGACTTACACCTACGTGGCTCGTAGTTCTGGGACTATATGGGTACGCTAAACCCTAGTCCAACTCAGTATTAT